CTGACACGCGCCCGGCGCCGGCCACTCACCCTGGCGTCTGCGTTCTGCGTGGCCTCCCGGATCTTGGCCACCCAGTCGTTAAGCTCCTCCTGCGTGTCGGCAGCCACGTCCAGCGACTGGGCCGGGTGGGACATCTGCTGGGAATGGATGGTGAAGACAAATGGTTTGGAGCTCCTCCCGTCTTTGGAGATAACTACAAGGACATCAGAGGGGGCTTTACTTGGAGAGGCTCCCAACGGACAGGGACCCCGGCGGGGCCCTGCTCTCCAGCCTGCTGCGCACGGGGAGTGGGGGTGGGGGGTCGACTCCTTCCTCTGATGCAGCCTCACCTCCGGCAGCGCGTCAGGACCTGGTGGGAAACCTGCCCCTCTGCCCCCCTGCGCTACCTGGGCCCTGGGCCAGTGGTCGGGGCAGGCGGGGGATTTGCCTGTGATCCGCGTCAAGACAAGAGGGACCCAGGGAGCTCTGCACGCGGGAGGTCCTGAGTTCCCTGGGGCCGAGGGCGCTCAGCCCCCCCAGGTCTGTGCCCTACAGCTCTGACAGTTCTCCCTGGAGGGCCACAGCTCAGGGGCACCTTGCCCATAGTTAGCACTTAGGAGAGGGAGGCAGTGATGGCAGCTGCCCAGGGAGGCACAATGCAGAGGTGGCAGCTACTGAGGAAGGCACAATACAGCGATGCAGCTGCCAGGGGAGGCGCAATGCAATGTTGCAGCTGCTGGGGGGGCGCACAATGCAGCTACTGGGAAGGGAGGTGCGATGCAGCTGCTGGGGGAGGGCGAGATGCAGCGATGCAGCTACCAGGAAGGGAGGTGCGATGCAGCGATGCAGCTACCAGGAAGGGAGGTGTGATGCAACGATGCAGCTACCGGGAAGGGAGGTGTGATGCAGCGATGCAGCTACTGGGAAGGGAGGTGTGATGCAGCGATGCAGCTACCAAGAAGGGAGGTGTGATGCAGCGATGCAGTTACCGGGAAGGGAGGTGCGATGCAGCAATGCAGCTACTATGCAGCTACCGGGAAGGGAGGTGCGATGCAGCGATGCAGCTACTGGGAAGGGAGGTGCGATGCAGCGATGCAGCTACCAGGAAGGGAGGTGTGATGCAGCGATGCAGCTACTGGGAAGGGAGGTGCGACACAGCGATGCAGCTACCAGGAAGGGAGGGGCGATGCAGCAATGCAGCTACCGCGAAGGGAGGAGCGATGCAGCAATGCAGCTACCGCGAAGGGAGGAGCGATGCAGCAATGCAGCTACCGCGAAGGGAGGAGCGATGCAGCAATGCAGCTACCGCGAAGGGAGGAGCGATGCAGCAATGCAGCTACCGCGAAGGGAGGAGCGATGCAGCAATGCAGCTACCGCGAAGGGAGGAGCGATGCAGCAATGCAGCTACCGCGAAGGGAGGAGCGATGCAGCAATGCAGCTACCGCGAAGGGAGGAGCGATGCAGCAATGCAGCTACCGCGAAGGGAGGAGCGATGCAGCAATGCAGCTACCGCGAAGGGAGGAGCGATGCAGCAATGCAGCTACCGCGAAGGGAGGAGCGATGCAGCAATGCAGCTACCGCGAAGGGAGGAGCGATGCAGCAATGCAGCTACCGCGAAGGGAGGAGCGATGCAGCAATGCAGCTACCGCGAAGGGAGGAGCGATGCAGCAATGCAGCTACCGCGAAGGGAGGAGCGATGCAGCAATGCAGCTACCGCGAAGGGAGGAGCGATGCAGCAATGCAGCTACCGCGAAGGGAGGAGCGATGCAGCAATGCAGCTACCGCGAAGGGAGGAGCGATGCAGCAATGCAGCTACCGCGAAGGGAGGAGCGATGCAGCAATGCAGCTACCGCGAAGGGAGGAGCGATGCAGCAATGCAGCTACCGCGAAGGGAGGAGCGATGCAGCAATGCAGCTACCGCGAAGGGAGGAGCGATGCAGCAATGCAGCTACCGCGAAGGGAGGAGCGATGCAGCAATGCAGCTACCGCGAAGGGAGGAGCGATGCAGCAATGCAGCTACCGCGAAGGGAGGAGCGATGCAGCAATGCAGCTACCGCGAAGGGAGGAGCGATGCAGCAATGCAGCTACCGCGAAGGGAGGAGCGATGCAGCAATGCAGCTACCGCGAAGGGAGGAGCGATGCAGCAATGCAGCTACCGCGAAGGGAGGAGCGATGCAGCAATGCAGCTACCGCGAAGGGAGGAGCGATGCAGCAATGCAGCTACCGCGAAGGGAGGAGCGATGCAGCAATGCAGCTACCGCGAAGGGAGGAGCGATGCAGCAATGCAGCTACCGCGAAGGGAGGAGCGATGCAGCAATGCAGCTACCGCGAAGGGAGGAGCGATGCAGCAATGCAGCTACCGCGAAGGGAGGAGCGATGCAGCAATGCAGCTACCGCGAAGGGAGGAGCGATGCAGCAATGCAGCTACCGCGAAGGGAGGAGCGATGCAGCAATGCAGCTACCGCGAAGGGAGGAGCGATGCAGCAATGCAGCTACCGCGAAGGGAGGAGCGATGCAGCAATGCAGCTCCTAGGAAGGGAGGTGCGATGCAGCAATACAGCTGCCAGGGGCAGGATGCAGCAATGAGGTGCAATGAGGGTGAGGTGCGATGCAGCTGCCGGGGGAGGCGCTGGGCCTGCAGCTCAGGCTGTTCAGCTGTAGCAAAGGCCAGTGAGAAAATCTGCCAGTGGGGTGGACTCAGCTCCCCCAGGCCTGGCGGCGCTCAGCCCTGACTTTCCGCCTCCCCCTCTCTCTTCCCGCTAATTCCCGTTTTACGTGGGGCCCCTCAGCTTTCTGGGAGCAAGAGGGGCCGGGAGACTGATGCTCATGTGCGGGCTTATGGCAGGGCCAGGGCTTGGTGGGCCCAGTGCTGCGGGCTGGGCCGGCCTCCGCCAGCCGCACTGGAGCCTGGGGGCTTTCCCGGCGGTTCTGAACTCGCCGCCGGTCTGGCCAGAGATGCCAGCTGGAAAGCTCTGGAGAGGCAGGGACAGCTGAGCCTGCTCTGTGGGGCGGCCTCCCTTTGGGTCACACAGTGCTCCAGCCCCGTTCACAGGGCACCCACTACCCCCTACACATAGCGCCCCAAGGGAGGAATCGGGCATGGACCCAGCAGCCCTCCTGTCATGCTAATACCCAGCTCCTATTGAATATCCCCCCAACAGGCCTCTGTGCTTTTTACAAGGGAGGTCAGTATCCCCAGTGTACAGATGGGGAAACTGAGGTACAGAGCAGGTGAACTGCCTGGCCCAGAGCCCGGAATAGAACCCAGTCTGGTGCTCTATGCACTAGGCCACGCTGCCTCCAAACGGGCAGGCTCCGGACTCACCCAGCCAGGTGCTCCAGGCAGGGGCAGCGCCCACGCGCAAGGAAGACTCCGAACTTTCCTCCTGGCAGCCCCGCTCAGCGGAGGCGTCTGTCTCCGTTACACGCGCCCCCCATGGCACGTGCCAGAGCCCGGCTCCCGGCGGCAGATACAGACACTCACCTACATGGCAGGACGGGACATCGATGAACCCTTTCAGGAAGTTGCCCAGGGGGCTGTTTTCTGCGGACTGGAAGAAAGGAAGGAAGGCAGAGAAAGGGGAGTTACCACAGACAGACAGACAGACAGACGGACGGACGGACAGACAACTCCTTTCTGCCTTCAGCCAGGGCCGTCCTGAGGGGAGCACAGGGCCTGGGGCAAGCTTCCCCGCAGGCCCCCATCGCATGCCCTGCCCCACCCCTGCCCAGCCCCATGGCTGCTCCACCCTCCCCCGCCCAGGGGGCTGCTGGGGGGAT